GACCCATCCCTGTGCCCCGTGCATCCCCTCACCCATCCCTGTGCCCCGTGCATCTCCTGACCCATCCCCGTGCCCATTGCATCCATCTCCTGACCCATCCTTGTGCATCCCCTGACCCATCCCTGTGCCCCGTGCATCCCCTGACCCATGCCCGTTCCTCTCCTCTGCAGGGAGGGCTGATCGCGCTGCTCCTGCTTCTCTTGGTCTTCACGGTGGCTCTGTACGCCCAGCGGCGCTGGCACAAGCGTCGCCGCATCCCGCAGAAGAGTGCCAGCACGGAGGCCACCCACGAGATCCACTACATCCCCTCAGTGCTGCTGGGTCCCCAGGCCCGCGAGAGCTTCCGCAACTCCCGCCTCCAGGCCCACAACTCGGTCATCGGGGTGCCCATCCGCGAGACCCCCATCCTGGATGACTACGAGGACGAGGAGGAGGAGGAGACGCCACGGCGGGCAGAGCCCAGCACCAGGGAGGATGAGTTTGGCAGCCAGGTCCCTCTCTTCATCCCCTGTTGAAGTGTCTGTGCGGTGCAGATGGCTCATCCGTGCATAGCCCCTTTGGCTGGTGCTTGGCTCTCCAGGCTTTGGTCCTCAGGTGTCATCTGCAGGCTGGTCTGCAGACCTTGTCCTGAAGCTGCCCTGACTGAGAGGGGAGTCACCTTTGGAGGGTGCTGGGGAAACTGAGGCATGGTAGCTGTGAGCCTTCAGCTGTTATTGCCAGCCCCGAGTACCAGGCCCTGACTGCCCTTCACCAGTGGGTCAGGTGCCGTAGGAGCGTGCGAGCCGTGTGCGTGGGACCTCTACGGAGAACTGGCTTCCTAGATGTGACCCGTCTCCTTTGTCACATCCTCTTCCAAAACCAGTCTCCTGTTGCTGGCACGCTCCTGCCCAGCGTGGTGAGGTGGCAAGCTGATGGCTCTGCTTTCAGGCTTGGTGGTGCGTCTGGTCCTAGCAACGGCAGAGACCGCTGTGAAACCCCCGGCAGGTTCGGGGATGCCTGGCCGGGGGAGCGGAGCTGGCGTTGCCCCCGGGAGGGGAGCTGCTCTGTGCCGTGGGCTTGTGCAGCGCCTTGCATGGGCAGCACCGAGGGGTCGTTCCCGCTGCTCCAGCAGCTCTGCTGAGCGTGTGCTCCCCGCTGTGCGATGGGACCCTCAGCAGGGTGGGAATGCTGGGCTTCATCCCAACTTCTTGCCGTGGGTGACTGCTAGCCCGTGGGTGTCAGTCAGGGCAGTCCTGACTGTGGAGGCAGAAGTGGCCAGTGCCTTGCTGTCGGGTAGGGCAGTGGTTCCAGCGAGCGAACGTGGCGGTGCGCTGGGGCTCCTCCAGCCTGCTGAGCCTTGGTGCTCCTCGGAGAGCTGCTCCATAAAGCCGCATTTCCCACTAGCGGCAAAACATCCCCTCTGCTTTATTCTCTGAGCAATCAGACAAACGATCCTGTCGTCACCCGCAGACAAAGTCATCAGGGCTGTAGATGTGAGGCAAGCACGCAGGAGCCCTGTGCGGAGTTGGAAATGGCAGATCAGAAAATTCTTCTTGCGGGAAGGAGCTCGGAGCTGAATCCGTGGGGATCCAGTGGACAGCCGCAGACCCCAGATGTGAGCCGTTACCCACCTGCGGTGTTTGGCGTGGCAGGTAGAGTGTTGCGTAGCATCTGTAGGGCAGATCAGACAATTCCATAAGTGTGGGTTCTCTCTCTCCCCGTGGTGCTGACTGCTAGTAAGGTATAATACTGGAGAACGCCGCTGTTGTAAGGTACAAACCCCCTGGTAGTAGCCGTGGAGAGCTGGGCTGGAGTGCCCGTTCCCGCGCAGGTGAGGTGTGCTGTGGGTGCTTTGTGCCTTCGCTGAAGGTGCTGGACTGGGATTTGGAGGAGCTCTGATCCCTTTGGGGTTCCCCATCCCTGAAGGTGCTGGGCTGGGGTTTGGAGAAGCTCTGGTCCCTTTGGGTTTCCCCCATCCCTGAAGGTGCCTGGCTGGGGTTTGAAGGAGCTCTGGTCCCTTTGGGTTTCCCCATCCCTGAAGGTGCTGGGCTGGGGTTTGGAGGAGCTCTGGTCCCTTTGGGGTTCTCCCTCCCCAAAGCTCTCCCCAGCTCAGAAAGAAGGTAATGGTGGGGTCCCTCTGGGTCAGACGATCCAGCTTCGGCACAGTGAGTAGCCTAAGGCTGGACACAGTGGGGCAGACAGACGGGTGGGGCCGCGTGCCTGCGCCCAGCCTCTGCGGCTGGTCCTGGGAGAGCTGGAGAGACCAAACCACGGGCGACGGGTGCTGGCGGTGTCTCCTAATGCGCTGCTGGAAGGCACTGAGGATCTCTAGGAGGAGGCCAGTGCCTACGTAGTCTAGACTGCCTGCTCTTCACTTGGTTGTTCTCTTAACTGTGAATAAAACTCGTGCTGCTGAGCCGTGTGGTTCTGCTCTCTGCCCTTGGAGAGCCATGGCTGAGAGGGCCGGGCAGGGTCTGGGTGCTGCCCCGCTGGCTCTGCGCAGGGCTGGGGGACCGCGGCTGCCGGGCGCGACTGCGTGATGTGGCGGGCGGTTCTCCAGCTTTTGCGGTGCTTTCCCCGGAGTGTTCCGGCTAATGCGCGCTTCATTGCCTGCGTTTTTAAAGCGTGTCTCTCGGAAGCCGCAACACCCACCTCTGCGTATTGAAATGGTGTTAGGAGCCGTTTGATATTGTTCACCTGCAACGCACAGGAAAATGTATTCAAATAAACAAAAGCAAAGTACATCAGTGCTAACTGCTGAGTGACTCCAGCAGGAGCGAGGAAGGGGTGCTCCGGCTCCCTCCGTGCGGTGACACTGGACTGTCCCGTCCTTCATCCCATGAGCGTGTGGGGTTCCCACAGAGGCCGAGCGGTCCCTGCCGGAGCACCCGCAGTGGCAGTGCTGGGGGACTGGGGCGGGGACAGGGGACTCCTTGGCTCCGCGGAGGAGACCGTGCAGCTCTGAACATGGGAGCCGGGGAGAGCCCCCATGATGCATCATGCCTGGAAAGTCCAACCATGCACCTGCGACAGCAGCGACGCGTGGCACAGGTTGTGTTTCTTCTGCCCTTAGAGTGCTTTGTAGTCTTCCGTCTTTCAAGCGAGGCGGTTGTAGTGAGGTGGGTGCTGGTCTCTTCTCCCAAGTAACTAGTAATAGGATGAGAGGCAATGGCCTCAAGTTGCATCAGGGGTGGTTAAGATTGGATATTAGGAAAAATTTCTTTACTGAAAGAGTAGTAAAGCATTGGAACAGGCTGCCCAGGGAAGTGGTGGAGTCACCATCCCTGAAGATGTTCAGAAAACACGTAGAGGTGGCACTTGGAGACATGGTTTATCAGACATGGTGGTGTTGGGTTGAATGGTTGGACTTGATGATCTTTGAGGTCTTTTCCAACCTTAATGATTCTGTGATTATGATGGCGATGGTTATCTTTGCTCAAGCAAGCGTGGAGGTGCCCAGGGGTCCATCTGCCATCCTCAGGTGGTGATCTGAGCATCCCTGTTGGCATCTCCCTTTGTGTTTGGCTGGCTGTTACCAGACCATGGTGTTAATATATGTTTCCCCAACCCTCTGTTCAGTGAGAATGAACAAATGAAAGCCTTCATATATCGTAACTGAGCTGCCTTTTTTATTCTTTCATATTCTCTTCTTTGTTTTACTTTTCTATAAATTATTTAGAGTTGTGTGAGTGAGGAAGACAGCAGTAACTGCATTTCAGTTCTCTTCAAAACATAATAGTAAACAAGATCTAGGGCAGAATATTAAACTATCCGAGAGCTTCAGGAATTGGCAATAAAGAGCTTCTTACACTGACTGAAAAATTCCCCCAAGCCAGGGCTGCAAGCTGCCTGCAGAGCCAGGGCTACCCCAGCCTGGGAGATACATTCACAAATGCTCGCACCCGTTCAGCTCGTGATGCCATCGAGCTTTGCACCTTGGATTGAGGCAGGTTTGTGCCTTGCCTGGTCTGATCTTCCAAACTGTGCTGGTTCCCTCTGTGCTTCCTCCCAGATGGGCACTTTTCTTTCTTGGATGAGGCTTTGCTCAAGGAATCACGCTGTGGTCTGTGCTGGTTGCTCTTCTCTGCTGAAGCTGGGTCAGAGCCTAGGTTGCCAGGACGAGGTGCCTGTAATTCAGATCTAGGACGTAAGGTCCTCATCAGTGACACCAACAGTAGGATTGAGTGCACCCTCACCAAGTTAGCAGATGACACCAAGCTGGGTGGGGTGGTCAGCACACCTGAGGGATGGAATGCCATCCAGAGGGACCTGGACAAGCTCAAGACATGGGTCCATGTGAACCTTGTGAGGTTCACAAAGGCCAAGTGCAGGGTCCTACAGCTGGGTTGGGGCAAGCTGTGGTATCAATACTGGTTGGTGGATGAAGGGGTTGAGAGCAGCCCTGCCAAGAAAGACTTGGGGCTACTGGTGGATAAAAAGCCCGGCAATGTGTGTTGGCAGCCCAGAAGGCCAACCATCCCCTGGGCTGCACCCCCAGCAGCGTGGGCACAGGGCGAGGGAGGGGATTCTGCCCCTCTGCCCTGCTCTGCTGAGACCCCCTGGGAGTCCTGCGTCCAACTCTGGAGCCCTCAGCACAGGACAGAGCTGGAACTGTGGGAGCGGGGAGCAGAGGAGGCCCCAGCAATGATCCGAGGGCTGGAACCCCTCTGCTGGGAGGAAAGGCTGGGAGAGCTGGGGCTGCTCAGCCTGGGGAAGAGAAGGCTGAGGGGAGACCTGACTGCGGCCTGCCGGGGCTTCAAGGGGCTTAGAAGAAATTAGAATAGAACAGAACAGACGGCTTCAGTTAGAAGGGACCTGCAGCGATCATCCAGTTCAACTGCCTGACCAGCAGGGCTTGTAGTGATAGGACAAAGGGTGATGGCTTTAAACTGGGGGAGGGTGGATTTAAACTGGATATAAGGAGTAAATTCATTACAGTGAGGGTGGTGAAACCCTGGCCCAGGTTACCCAGAGAGGTGGTCGATGCCCCATCCCTGGAAACATTCAAGATCAGGTTGGACGGGGCTCTGAGCAACCTGATCCAGTTGCAGATGTCCCTGCTCATTGCAGGGGGGTTGGACAAGATGTCCTTTAAAGGTCCCTTCCAACCCAAACTATCTATGATTCTATGATTTTTACAACAGAAATGTAAATATACGTGCTGTGGGCTTTGCACTCCTGCCTGGTTCGCACACGAGTGGGAAAGGTGGTGATTTGGGAGGCGTTGGACGTGCTGCGCACACCGGCGCTTTGACACGCCCTCGAGCAGCAGATGCGGCCGGGAATCCCATGGGGATGCGGCAGCTGGGGTGGAGAAGCTCTGCAGTTGGTGTGCTCAGACACCGCGTCCCTGGAGATCCCAGGGGCTGGAAAGCAGTTCTGCTCAGGCACGGTTTTAGAGGTGGAATGAAGATGGATGTGTCAAGGCAAGCCCAGCTGGAGCATGGCCCTAGCTGGAGGACAGGCTCAGCCTTCCCCTCGGTGCCTGGCTGCGTGGCCGGAGCCACCAGGT